GCAGAGTTGCCTACCACCACCTGCTGGTAGTCTGTCGCGTGCACTGTGATATAGTTCACTCCGTATGGTCCCAGCTATCTACGCAGCTCTCATCAGTGGTTCCCAGAAGCCATAACATGCGTGAAAGCATATTTGATCACTTATCAATTGCATAACATCATTTTCTACAGGGAGAACAGGAAAATTTATCGTCGCAACGTTGAAATTTCCAATCCTCACATTCGTGGCATGCTGGCTACTTCGACAGCAAATTAATACCGAACTACTGGAACATAGAATGAAGGTACACAATACTCAAATGACAGTTTTGTCGACTTTTGTGGGAAAATCAGCGGTTCACAACAAACAAACTGAACAGTTTACGACATTAGAAAATACACATTCAGGGAGAGTGGTGCGGGTTTCATTTGACGCCCTACAATTCTTGCTAATAGATAATGATTAGCATGTAAGCTTTCGGAATGTAAAATCGTATGGATGCGGCATTATAGACCCATTTTACAGATACAGTTCAAATTCAACCGCAGACAAGAGGCTTCAATCGAGACAGACTGAAAAATTAATGTAAGTAAATGGTTATTTTCCTCCACAAATCGTATCAGAGAGCCATCGATGAATAATGTAAAGCAATCTAGATAGCTTAAGCGTAACTCTTGAACAACAGGATTTGCACATTTGTAACCAGCGTGCACGGAATACTCCGCACGTGTTTGTAATTCACAGGCAAATCAAAACAACAAGGTACGCAAACGACCACCCCAAGAAGGCGGATTATAACACAAGAGTCGTGTTGAAAGACAGCAAGTATTGGGGGAATACGGGTCCGAGTTAGAATGAATCTGATTTTTTTTTATAAGAATGGAGGCTTTGCTTTGATTGTATGACGAATTTGTCGTGTAAGTGAGGCATGAGCCGAAACGCTGGAAAGCATTGTACAACAACTGGTTCGACTTGGCTGGGTTTCATCAGCAGTGATAGTCCATCGACCCAACCCGGGACGTCACAGGTAGCGTAATACCCACTCGGACACCGGGCAGGTGATCAGACCGCTTCTCATTTAAAATATACACGATACAGCACAACTCGCAACAAGCTCTCAGAGATGGGTTGTGCTATATCGTGTATATTCAAAATGAGAAATCGTTTGATCAGATGTCCGGTGACTGATTGAATAGTACGCTTACGTTCTAATCCAACAATTATTGTCGTTTTCCGCTAACATGCTTACATCCCGGGGGAACTCTCCTAGCAGGCAGATTTCCAGTATCACTCTTAAGCAATCAGATAATGTGTTGTTCCAATACAGGATGCCTGTGCATCTATAATTGTTTTGTTCAAGTTAGGACTCCTAGAAACATTATTTTTCAACACCCAAGACGGTATGGGGATACTGTTTGATTAACGGGTACACTCGTCTGAGCCGGTAATGTCAGCGGTGCACGAAAATCTGAACCTAATTTTACAGATGAGGTCAACAAACTGTACAAACTTAATTCAAACTGACAAAATGATTTGTTGATAACACTAAAAAAAACAAAGAATCGAATGTTTAAACTAGGGTGCACCATCGTGTGCTGAACGGCGAACAAAAAGTGCAAACAGAAAGGATCAGCTAGCAGGGGCTTTATGATTGGATAATAATAACCCGGCCCTCAGTAGTGGGACGAAAATCACGTTCGATTAGACGAACGGCCAGTCCGTGTTCCCATGGTACTCAACAAACAGTTTGGTTTGTTAAACTGGCTATCAATCTATTTATCAATGCGACGTATAACCGAGAAAGAGACCGAGATGGAGAGAGTACTGTGCAGGGATAACACACCGTAAAAACATCCGTTAACAGTAGCAATGAAAAACGCTGCGAACTGAAGATGGGTTCTAAGCCACTGGAGATACGACAATTAATTCGCCTCACCGCTTGCTCTGTCTGTCAGATTTTCTCTCGCTCTCTCTCTCTC